ATTTACGCGATTTTTTACAAAAAATGATTTCATATTCTTAAAGTAGAGTCTTTGAGCTTTACAAAACTCTAAGACAAAGTATGATTATCTCTACAAAAAGACTAGTTACAGCTATTTAAAAATGACTAAATTTCGAAATTTAAAGAAATAGTTGGCAATTGGGTCAGAAGTTTTCATTTATCATGAAACAAAGTTCTGCCAAAGGAAAAACAATAAAAAAATTTTTTTCAAAAGATATACAAATTCAAAATTTCTCAATTTTTTCAGTTTTTCAATTTTGTTTTTGTAATATCTCGAACGCTATTGTAGATATAGGAATGACCTTTTGTTTTTTCAAAAGGGGACACTTAGGGTTATTGAAAAAAAAATATTTTGGAAAAAAATTAAAAAAAAATGCCAAATTTGTCAAATTTTGAATTTTTGAAAATCGTTAAAAATGACGATCGAAGTTAAATTTTTAGCTCAATTGTTTTTGTATGATACATAGTTATCATCTTAAAAAATTCTGAAATTTTTAGAAGGGTGTTTTTTTTTTCAAAAATATCAATTTTTGAATTTCAAAAAAAAATTTTTTTTCTTTTTTTGCAACTTTTAAATAAGGTAAAGTTATGCAGAAACATAGTATTGTAATTTTGTGGATTAATACTTGAATTCATCACGTAGAAATATTGAATAAGAAATTAATTTCAACTTTTTTTTCGATTTTCCATGCGTTAAGAATGACTTTGAAATCATGTCAAAAAAATTAAAAAAAAGTTGAAATTAGTTTCTTATTCAATATTTCTACGTGATGAATTCAAGTGTTAATCCGCAAAATTACAATACTATGTTTCTGCATAACTTTACCTTATTTAGAAGTTTCAAAAAACGAAAAAAAAATTTTTTTCGAAATTCAAAAATTGATATTTTAAAAAAAAAAGACCTTCTATTGTAACGTCCCCAAAAATTGGGTTATTTAATTTTATATAATTTAAGTCCAGATTTGGCCTCGTGAGGGTATCAATAGATCCCAGGTGGGCCTGTCATTGGTCACGAGTGAAGGATTTTAACTGAACGCTGAACTTCAGCGTTCAGGGTAGGAAAACAGGGGAAGCCACGCTATTAAGCGTGCACCCCTGTAAGTTTATTTAAATAAAAACTCATGATTTAAAATTAAAGTTAAGTTTTAATGAAAATGAGTAAAAAGCTTAGAGCGGAGTCAGTCCTTACAGCTTCGGGACTCGCGCTGGACAGACTATCCGCAGAATAATTATACAAAGTACGAATCAAAATCGTTGTCGTTGCATCTCAGGTTATATACACCCTGGCGGAGTCGTCGGGGCCCAGCTCTCACGCTGGTGTTTAGACTACAGCCCGGCGACTCTCTTATCATTGGAGATTTCCGTTACTTTGCTGACGTAAAGTAACGAATCACTCCCAGGGTCATTATAAAATTTTAAATAAATTTTTATTTGGTAAAATTTTTACCAATTAAATTTTACCAAAATTATGTCCCGCCCCTAAATTTGACCGGAACGTTACACTATATTTCAAAATTTTTTAAGATGATTACTATGTATCATACAAAAACAATTGTGCTAATATTTTAACTTCGATCGTCATTTTTAACAATTTTCAAAAATTCAAAATTTGACAAATTTGGCATTTTTTTTAATTTTTTTCCAAAATATTTTTTTTTCAATAACCATAAATGTCCCCTTTTGAACAATCAAAAGGTCATTCCTATATCTACAATAGCGTTCGAGATATTACAAAAACAAAATTGAAAAACTGAAAAAATTGAGAAATTTTGAATTTGCATATCTTTTAAAAAAAAATTTTTTATTGTTTTTCCTTTAGCAGAACTTTGTTTCATGATAAACGAAAACTTCTGACCCAATTGCCAACTATTTCTTTAAATTTCGAAATTTAATCATTTTTAAATAGCTGTAACTAGTCTTTTTGTAGAGATAATCATACTTTGTCTTGGAGTTTTGTAAAGCTCAAAGACTCTACTTTAAGAAAATGAAATCGTTTTTTGTAAAAAAATTGCGTAAATTATGTGTAAATTCAATTTAAAACAAAAAAAGAATTTTTCCCATGTTAATCAAATAGGAAACTAAAATAAAAAAAGCGACCCCTTAGAGTTGAGCTATTAGGGCTCGTGTTTGATGAGGATGTTTTTTATATCAAATATAAACATTTGAGAGGGTAAGAGTTGAAAAAAAAATTAAAAAGTTTTTTTGAATCACGCTAATATATATATACTAGCTGTTACCCGCCCGCTCCGCTGGGCACTTAATAGAAATGTATTTTTAGATCTAGACTTGAAATTTGTTTGGAGTATTGTTTTGACGCACAGATTCTAAACTCCATCGGATTGGCCTGTACCCTTTATCCATGTGATTATTCTAACTAATATTCACTGTAACTTTTAATGTGCAAACATTATATTATTCCCGCGGCTTTCTTGCAAAAAATGATCAATAATTGACACGAAGAAATAAAAATTGAAATGAGCATTGAAAGTTATTCAGTTAAAGTAATTGCAGGTCTCATAAGTGAAGTTGAAATCTGCCTAGCTTAAAGTGCGACGAATTTAGCTGTTTATTAAAATTTCCTTTGTGACATCAATTTTTCATAAAAAATTATTTGTACATGTTTTTTACGAATTCTCTTAAAATAAGTAGCCAAATTTCTTTTCTATATCTCAAGTGTTTAGAAAATGCATTCATTTTAATCTAATACATTCCCGCAATCCCGTAATAAGAACATTCCATCGGTTATGATCATCGGAAAAATATTTAAATCCGTTGACCTTGGAGGCCATCCTTATAATTTCCTGTTCTTTTTGAGATTCTATCAAATTTTATATCTGTAGGAACTGTATTTGAAGAATATGAATTTCTTGACAATTATCACTCCTGCACTCCTATGTAGGGGAGGAATGTCGTAAGATCCTATTCAAGATGATTTCTACATTATAAATAAAAGGTTTATACAAAAATTAGAGTTCATAGAAACTATTGTTTGTAAATGAGAAATTTTCATTGCTAACGCCCCCGCAATCCCTTTTGGGGTAAGAATTAGAGAAAATCCATTCTTAAATGAACTTAACATCATACACGAAAATTCCTACCGAATTTAGAGTCTGCAGAAGTTACAGTTTGGAAATTACAATTTTCGATTTTAACACCCACCCCCGCAATCCCAATCGGAAGTAGAATTTTTGAAATTCGTTTTGAGATGATCTCTTCATGACAAATAAAAGATTTCTACTAAATTTACAGCTTTCAGAAGCTATATTTTGAAAATTAAGATTTTTTATTGTTAAGATTTTAACACCCACCCCTGCAAACCCCTGTGAGGTGTCGTAAAATTCATTCGTATATTATTTCTACATCTCTTAGAGAAAATGCCTACCCAATTTGGATTCTATGGGAGCTATAGTTGAAAAACGGAAATTTTCATTGTTAACGCCCCCGCAATCCTCTTTGGCGTAGGATATCGTAAAATTCGTTCATAAATTATTTTTTCATCACTTACAGGAAGTTCCTACAAAATTTGGAGTCTGTAGGAGCTATAGCTTGAAAATTAAAAATTTTCATTGTTAACACCCATTGTTAATACCCACCCCCACAACCCTCTGTGGGGTGAGATATAGTAAAATTTGTTTATAGATTATTTCTACATCTCTTACAGAAGATTCCTACCAAATTTGGAGTCAATAGGAGCTATAGTTTAAAAACGGGAATTTTTCATTGTTAACGCCCCCGCAACCCCCCTTGTGGGTAGAATTTCGTAAAATCCGTTCCTAGCTGACCTCTACTTGGCAAAAGGAATATTCCTGCCAAATTTCAAGTCTCTAGGTCTTATAGTTCCAGAGATATCGTGATGAGTGACTATCTATACCTATAGAAAGTCTCATATATATATATATATATACATATAGATAGATAGATAGATAGATAGATAGATAAATAAATAGATAAATATATATACATATATGCAAATGATTCGTATGAGCCCGACTAGTATAATAATATATGATGAGTGATGCGATTTAATTATACAAAAGTATATATGATTATGTTTAATGATACATGGTCAGATCTTATAGTAGCAAATTTTCATAGCGGGATGATAAGAATTGAAAGAGTAGAAAAATTTCTAAATTCTTAATAATTATGATAGCTCGCGTAAATTTTTTTTCTGTGTTAAAATACGAAGTTTTACATATTTTTTTTCTATTTCTCGTGATAGTATTATTATTAAAGTTACACAAACTTTCAAAAATCTCTAAAAATTTTGGAAATTTATTTGCTATTTGCTATTTGCATTATATATATATATATATATATATATATATATATATATATGTTTTTTTAGTATAATACAAAGCAGAGATATTTATAATTAACAGAAATAATTTTACTATTAATAGAGTTTTAATATTTTTACTTTAAACTTTATACAAACGATGTCAGGTAACTATAACTGAGACTTAAATTTGATTCAAAATTTATTAAAAATTATCTGATTTCTTTCTCAGTGAACATTAAAAAAAATCATTTTAGTATTGTTAGAAAATTCAGAAAGCATTATATATATCCAAAAGATTATTTAAATAAAAACATTATTTAATCAAATTAAAAGTGAGTTGCATTTTTATCAACCAACTAACATTTTTTCTCAGTGTGATTGTTACTATTTCATCATCCTACATTTAATGATAATTTATGAATTGTAAAATTTTTTTCCTAACGCCGTAATAGATATTATTAAAATGAAATAAAGTAATATAGCTACTGCTTGTTAGAAATAAAATCATAAAATCCAATTAATTGAGATAATCATAAAAATAATACTATCGAGCATAATTCTTATAGATATGAGAATAATTAGATAATAAAGTTTAATAAGATCAAAACTAGAAAAAAAATTGATAAATCTTGTTAGGTCTTTACAGATAAAAATAATTTCATGGAATAGAAGTATAAAATAGTACAATAAGTGATACATTATTGAGCTAAAGTTCCCATTGGATCCCAAGCTGGTAAAACGATTGGTTTTTGTTGGAATACTGCCAAAACTTCAGCTGGTACGAATTTTTTATCTACAACTATTTCGAAAACAAATTCCATAAACCAGTCAGCAGTCATTGCAATGAAACCTTTTTCACCACGTTCTTCTCCCCAGGAATTTTCTACTCGTAATTTTGTCACTTTTTCATCAGGCTGAAAAGTAAAAAATCATAAATTTTTCGAGATATCTAACTATTTACTATTAATTTTTATCCACTTATATAAAAATTACGAAGACATATTAATCATTGACAATTTCTGAATTCTTCTGATATGATAATAAATTTATCTTAATCTCAAGTTTTTATAATTGAAAAAAATATTAGTAACTAGTTACTTTAAAATTATTATTGAAGATTATCAAACACTAATAAGTGATAATGTCGAACTTTCAAATACTAAGTATTAAAATAATAAAAAGACAAAAATAAAGCTTACATCAAATGAAACACCAGTAAAGACCATAGCATGTGTCATAGATGATTCTCCATATATAAGTCTATCCGCTTTAGATAGTCCCATTTGAGTATCGATTCCGAACAAGGAATTGATGTCGTGTGCATCAATACTATGAAATCCTTGTTTAGAAGCAAATCGTTTGATCACTTCACAGCCGAACCAAACTGCTTCATTTTGCTTGATACTTTTTCCAACCAGTGACAATAATAAATCAACTGGTTGATTATTATATACTGTATCATGACCACCCTTGACATTTCCCAAACAATCTACCGTGTAAAGATGACCAAAAGGATGGCTTGGTCTCGGATCTGTTACCAAACATACTTTGTCATCAATATTGTAAAATGGTTTTACAAACTTCTTATAAAAATCTAAGCCAGTTATCGGCCCAATTGAATGATAAGCTTTAGATTTATCATAATATTCCCAGGTTATTTCTTGTGCAGGTATTCCCAAACAAATACCAACAATACGATAAATTATGTTCATTTGCTCGTAAATTTTCTTTTCAATTAGATCATCAGATGCTCCATCAGTAATAATATTTCTTAATTCCTTAGCAAATTCTCTCAATTTACTTGTCAAAAGAAAATTCATACGCGATGTTGATTCACTAGTCCATGATTCAGGGAAACATGATTTTGGTACTAAACCATACTTATTAATCAAATTGCATATCATATCCCATTGACCACCATCACAAGTGGGATCATGGAGTAAAAATGATACTAAACGATCCTCAACTTTTTCACCTTGTTTCGCAGTTTTCACTATGTTATGCAAAAAATAATTGGATCGTTCAATCTGCAAGAAAAAAATTTGATTTACTTATAAAAGTAAATATTCTTAACTCTGTTAGTCTATAAAATACTTAGATCTCATATTCCAGATTTGAAAACAACGAAATTCGTATAGATACAGCAAAACCTGGGTACACTAACCACCTACGGTTCTTAAAAATAGTGGTCATCGTACAGAAAATGATAGTGAGTTTAATAAAAAAGAAATCAGTTGAGAGAAAGTATTTCATATATTTTTCGAGAATCTCGAAAATCAACTTTTGTTTCTAGAACAAGGTTAAGAAAGATAGCCACTGAGATGTATGAAAAAAAATTTGAAGTTTATATCTTCAAAAAAATGTATAAAACTCTAAGTCAGAATTCCAAAAATTGACTGAGTTACACTCATTTCATTGAGATTGTATATGGTTTAATATAGCTTTATATAGCTATATATAATTGTATATAGTCACACATAATTACATATAACCTCATATACAATTATATATGTGGGGGTACGATCCTTAGAGAAAAAAGCTCATAATCTCAGATTTTTTCGCTTGTGTTACTTTCTTTTCAGTTTTTTACCACGTTATTATTATTAATGTGATACGTTGATTGAAAAATAAAAGTATTAAAATATGGGGCGAAATGAGACCCCTAAAAAATTCTAATATTAGTGTTTTTATTCTTTTTACGTTATTTAAAGCTTTTGCCCGAGAATAAAAAACTAATTTGATTCAAGAGCATTATAACCTTGAACCCAGAAGACCATTTTGAAGAAATTATTTTAAATCAAGCACAAAAATTTTTTTCCTAAGGATATCTTGTGTTTTTCTTGGTTCCAGATTTTTGCCCTTATATCGGGCTAATTTTTTATCAATGAACGTATTTATTTGCAATATGCTCGAAGAGCTGAAAAGAAAAACTTATTTAAATGAAAAAGGAATGATTTCTCATGAACAAATCAGTGTAAAATTATTGTATAATAATAAATCACTTCCAAGTGTTCGTGTTATAGAAGCGCGCGAAAAATTAATTTTCATAAAAAATAATTAATTATCTGTTTTTATTCATACGAAAAAGGATCCTACAAAATCTATGAAATCAACATAAATAAAAGACCTATTTATTAGTAAAAGTATTTTTAATTCACTGTACTCTAATAATATGAAAGTTTCATTTTCATTTCCAGAAGACATGAAATTTCTCAAGTTATAGTTCTAAAACATATGTACCATATATTTGAAAATAAACAATAAATCAAATTTTGCTGAGTACTTGTTTGAAATATATGGTTAAATATTATTGTACTTACTTTATCCCAAAAGAACAAATAAGGTTGGCTGAATTCAAATTCTTCTAAATTATACTGCTTCACAAATGGAATCCTAATGACATTCAATGTTGCGAAAATCCAGCATCTTCCTGAATTTTTTTGATTCGTCATTGGTTTCACTTCTGATACTTTGTGTTGAAACACATGATTAGTTTTTTCAATGTTTGATCTTGAAAGACAACATTCCAATGGGTCGCTTTTTGTACATACATTTTGGGCTAGTATATTTTTTTTATCTTCATAAAATTTTTGATGAAATTCATCCAATATTTTAGACGTTAGCATGCCCGCTATTAATGAAAAAAAAAAAGAATTAATGTTAATATACATTCATTATTATTGATTTTTTATAGTATGAAAAAATTTTATACGGACAATCTACTACATCAATACGTAATTGAAGGGTGTGAGTGGTAGATGTGTACGTAAATGTAAGCCAAGCATGAATGCAAGTAAACATGTAGTTTATGTATCTAAGGCGTACTATAGTCGTCTAAAATGAATTCATAGTCGTAAGCTCTAAACTCAACATTATAGACTACAGATTTTTATCAATCGATTATTATTAATGAAAAAAAAAATCGATTTAGAACAAGAAAAAACGGTATATGTATACAACAGTTAAAATTAGTTTTAATAGTTATTAACGAAGAATACAAATTTTTCCGAATTTTAAAAAATAAGAAAAAATAAGAAACAAATTAATTATGGAGGGTCCACGACCCGACAAGACTAAAAAGTTTTAAGAATATAGGAATTCATTATAGAAAATTTTCAAAAAATCAAAATATGCAGCTTCTTAAAAAAATTAGAATTCAAATTTCAAACTTGAAAATTATTGCGAAAAATATTTCGACTAGTTGTTTTTTTTTGTTTTTTCTTCAAGACCATTAGAAAAAAATAATTCGATTTTGCAATTTTTACTTAGTGTTGTACTAAATCAAAAAGTTGATAAAATTCTTGGGTACAGAAGAGTATATAAGCGACATTGTCTGATAAAGTTTGGTGATGCATGTTTTAAAAAACGTAGTCCTAAAAATTATTTTAGTTCGATTTCTTTTGTTATAGAATGGTTTTCAAGTTGAGAATCATAACTTAGGTGTTTTTTCATAGTTTTCACTTGTATCACCATTAATTAATTCTAATTTTTACGATAAATAAAAACAAAAACTCCAAAATAGGCTTTTTCTTGATATCCTGAAAATAATTAGAGATTAAGGGCTAAAATTTTTGCTAAATTTTTTTTTTTTCGGTACCATATTAATCTTCAACAGGTGGATGTCTTGTTATCGTATTTAAACAGAAACATTACCAAAAAAGTTGTACATGGAAGCTTTAATGAGGTTGAAAAAAGCTCTGCAAGGAATAATTTGTATCAAATATGAAAATTCCGATATCATCCAAAGTAGAACGAAGATGGTGAGGAGGATCTCCAAAAGTAATGAGGTTTACAAATTAAGTCAGGCAATTTACGGATTAAATGGTACAAACTAATGAGTGCTACGCCAAAGAAGCTAAGATTGGAAGTCAAAGTTTCTTGAGCCAAGAAAATTTTTTCTTGCTCCAAAATAATTTTCGTTTTCCGTAAAATTTTCGTGGCGCAAAAAAATTTGTTTTTTGTGTGTACTTATATGATAAAAGTATTATCATAAAAATGGTACTCTTGGAACCTTTGAATCCACACAGAAAGAAAAATTTCTTGACTGGAGAACAAAGTTCTTGGCTCAAGAAAATTTTCGAGTACCTGAAGGAATAAGACCGAAATTGTGTTGGTTGAAATAAAAACATTTCTTGAAATTCTACTCTTGGTGGAAGTAACTTTTTCTTAATTCAAATTATCATAAATACTTGATACAATAAATTTTTATATTCGATCAAGATTTTTAAATATACTTTAGGGAAGCAGCGCCACCTACTTCAACTGAGAAAAAAATTTTCTCACCTTGAGAAAATTTTTCTCTTGAATATTTGATACCCATTTTATGTTATTTTAGTGTGCAGTTATACATATTGAATGAAAAAAAAAATGATTCAATATTATTTGATCTTCCCATTTGACATGTTAACCAATAAAAATATTAATTAAAATTTACTATCAAGATATTTAATTTTTTGGATCAAGGGAGAAATTTTCTCAAAACAAGAAAATTTACTTCTATCAAGAACTAAATTTTTTGGAGCAAGAGGTTGAATTTTCTCAAAACAAGAAGATTTTCTTGACTTAAATAAATTTTCTTGGATCAAGATACGTATTTCTTAAAGCAAGAGAATTAATTTCGTTGGAATAAGTAAAATTTCTTGTGTCAAAAAAGAATTTTTTTTTCGCTCAAGAAAATAATTAGGAAGAAAAATATTTTCTTGGCTCAAGTGAACTTTTTTTTTCTGTGCATAACCAGCAAAAAAACGTTATATGATCACTTTAACATAAAAAAATAATGCCCATAGTTGAAATTATCTCTCTTAGTCATAATATATTTTTTACATGATCGAAAAGTATTTCTTTTTTCATATAATTTTACTATCTAACTATATCTCTCAATTTTCGAAATTGCTAAATAAATAAATAAGTAAAATAATTTTGGTAAAATTGAAAATTATTAAAGCCATAATGTCGTGTTTTTCTTGGGTTCTCAGAACTTGAGAATGCTTTTTGTATAATCTAACAGCAAAATTACGAAAGGTCAAGAATATAATTTTGCAGAAAAATTTAATTCCAAGTGTACTGGAAAAAAAAATTTGTTATTTCGGTAGAAAAGTTAAAAAACATAAACAAATACTATAAATCTGAAAAATTATGGACGAATCAATATTTCTTACTGAATTCAATAAAAAATATTGATTGAAGAGAATTAAAAATGATGAAATTTCAATTCTTTTAAATAATTTCAATTCTTGTGTTTATATATAAATGGGGCATTCCATATACCGAATCGGCCACTTTTTTAGGTCGACTTCTCCAATTTTTTTGAAAATTTTATGTTTTCAATACCGTCAAAGAACACCTTCAATTTTTTCAAATTTTTTTGACCACCCGTTTCTGAGATATTGATTTTTTCCAAAATTCAAATTTTTTCTTTTTGAAAGAGCTATAATTTCGCAAAAAATACAGCTATCGGGGTCTCGTTTTTTTCAAAATTTTTATTTTTTAATCCTCTTTCAAGATAAAAATACCTCTTTGATCTTCTTTGATTTATTTCTATTTTTTTTTAAGTTTCAAGCAAAAAAAAAACATTTTTTCAATATGTATGCCCCCTTCGATTTTTATGAAAAAAATTCTCAAGAAAACTTGGACAAATATAAAAAGTTTTTAGACCAATCCGATCGTGGACAGACGTTTCGTTCTATTTTTTTTCTTAACTCAAAAATTTTTAACTTCCCGCTAAAAATCTTAGATTTTAAAAAATCGGGAAGTTATTGTTTTCACCCCGTTTTGCAAAAATCGAGTTTTCATCAGATCTCGACGTTTTAAGGTCATAGGAAGCTTCCCTGACTATCCCCGCGAGGTTGTCACTATGTCTGTATGTATGTATGTATGTATGTATGTATGTATGTATGTGTGTGTGTGTTTTTTTTCCCCTTAGGGGAGGGGGAATCCTTTTTACGGATTCTAGGCGTAGCTGTTTGGCCTGGATATGTGGCGACTCGACGCAGCGTCATACTAAAACTCGACGCTAACGCCCCTACCCACTAAATCCTAAACCCTTTTCCTCTTTCCTCTAATCCCTCATGGAAACCACCGTTAGGCATTACTTCGTGGGGGGAGGATATAGCGACTGCTCTTCCTTCTGGTAACTAAGGTATTATTTTACCTTTCTTCTAGTTGCTGTCATTTGCTCTTTTTCTTTCGATGCCGTTCTTCAGCTCTGAGTTCCTCGGCACTTAGTGTGGTTGACCTCTTTCGTTGGTAAAGGTTCCATCTTTCCTCAGCTAGAACTCTGAGCGGCAAAGTTCCGGAAATGACACACACTGCTACTTCTGATATCGTGTGGAATGCACTGGCTAGTCTTACAGCGCTCAGTCGATATACTGGTCCAGCTTTTCTCCATGCTTCTTGCAACTTCAGCGTGTCTGCCCAAATGGATATTCCATATGTGAGCGCCGATGTGACAACTGATGATAGTAGTAGTCTCCTGCTCTGCTTTGGGCCTCCAACGTTCGGCATCAGTCGTGCGAGACTAGCCTTCACTACTGACGCTTTGGCACTGACGTGTTCCACTTACTATTTAAAGTTGAGACGGGCATCAAGCATCACTGCTAAATATCGGATATAAGGTTGTGATGTGATTTCTTGTTCGCCGACTTTCAGCTTGATGGTCGCTAATACTTTTCTGCTGGATATAAGCACTGCCTCAGTTTTGTGTGTAGCCAGATGCAGGTTTACCGTATTCATCCACCGATGGACTCGCTCGAAGGTGATGTCGAACATGTTGTTAATCTCGTCAAGGTGTTTAGCGACGATTACTACGGCTACGTCGTCTGCATACGCTACGAGTTTTACACTTCTTGGCAATTTCAATCTCAATAGGCCATCGTACATGATATTCCACAGCAGTGGAACAAGTACAGAGCCCTGGGGTACACCTCCGGTAATATCGTACTCTTTTTGACCATTCTTCGTGTCGTATTTAAGAACTCTATCGGTGAAATAGCTGGCCACTATTCTACACTGGTGTTCTGGAACGTTTTTCTCTCGAAGAGCTTGCATGATGCAGTTCCAGTTGGCGGAATTGAAGGCGTTTTTAATGTCTAATGCCGCCACCAAGCAATACTTCTTTGTGTCACCCTTCCATCTGGTTCCTGCGATCGCTTCTTTAGCCGTGCTAACAACCAGATTGATCACGTCCAGGGTTGATCGTCCTTTCCGGAATCCATATTGTGTGTGTGTGTGTGTGTGTATGTGTGTGTGTGTGTGTGTGGATGTATGTGAACCTCTCATAACCTTTAAACGGCTTGACCGATTTGATCGCGGTTAGTGCCATTCGAAAGGGCTTGACCAAACTTAGATTTTGTATATACTTTGGACCGATTCAGACCGGTAGATTTTGAGAAATCGCAAAAAAACTACAAAAAAAAAATATTTTTCAAAAGTGGTTTTTTTGGTATAACTATTAAACGGCTCTACTGATCAATTCCAAAAACTAATCAACTCTTAACATTAAAAAACCACGTCGATCACCGCCAATCCGGTCAAAATCGGTTAATTCGTTCGTCAGTTATCGTTGACGAAAGAAAACCGAAAAAAGTGTTTTTTCGGAATTACTTCAAAATTCCTGGCTCGACCGATTTAAACTTGAAGATTCTTTATAGAACTTCAAAAACTGCATCGATTGCCGCCAACCGCGTGAAAATCGGTTCATTCATTCAAAAGTTATTGCGATTTGAAAATTCAAAAAATAGTGTTTTATCAAACTCCTACCAAATTTTTGAGCTCGAAGAGCTCAAAAACGCCATAAGTGCAATTTCAAGCGTTTAGGTATAGAATTGGCGGAAAGTTGCAGGGATGGCCTTCAGGGTCAACCGTTTTCCTAATTTTTTTGTACCAGAGAAACAATTTAATCAATATTTTCATTAATTTAGCATTTATTTATTAATTTAATGAATTAGAGTTTCCCGAGTAAAAAAGATTTTATATAATTAGATACGATTATATACAATTGTATATCGTCTATATATAATTGGATATAATTTATATATAATTCTATATAATTGTATCCCATTATATAAAATTATTCAAAATCATGAAGGAGAATTACACAAAATTGTATATAATTAGATACAATTGTATAGAATTGTATCTAATTAGACACAATTGTATAAAATTATATAAAATTTTATGTGATTCGACTTTACAACTTTATGAAATTTTATACAATTGTATATAATTATATACAATTGCATAGAATTGTATCTAATTAGACACAATTGTATAAAATTATATAAAATTTTATGTGATTCGACTTTACAACTTTATGAAATTTTATACAATTATATATAATTATATACAATTGCATAGAATTGTATCTAATTAGACACAATTGTATAAAATTATATAAAATTTTATGTGATTCACCTTTACAACTTTATGAAATTTTATACAATTATATATAATTAGATACAATTGTATAGAATTATATCTAATTAGACACGATTATATAAAATTCTATGTAATTCGCCTTCACAACTTTATATAATTTTATGAAATTAAATAAAATTATATATATGAGATACATTTCTATATAATTTTTTGGTTTATTTTTACATTTATACAACAACTACAATCTATTATAATTATTATCTATAGTTTACTATTAATACATTGTTAAATTATAAAGTAATTCCATACACAATATTTATACAAAAACATTTATGCTAAAGTTACCAAACTTTTTTTAATTGATCAGGTCTCTTACAAATGTATTCCCCTACACATACAAGCTGACATATATTTTTTACCTCGGTAAGTTTTATTAGCAAGTGTTTTGATGATTCTGTTACAGGTATTATATGTCTTACTGCTGTTTTTGTACTTGTCTGAATCATCATTTTTTCATGATTTACAGCCAAGCATTGAACTATAAAATACAACTGACTTTCACTCTCAAAAAAAAATTTTATCATTCCATAAATACACGAATCACAATTCTGAATTATTTTCACAGTGAAACTGTTCGTTTTAATTGCTTTATAAATTGTTGATGTATAAATTTCATTATATATTTTTACTCGAGCATAAATATTTAAATTTTTGTAGTTGAACCCTGCAGAAGCAATCAATTGTCGTTCATCATCCTGGATTTCAGTAGTAATCGTACAACCTAATAACGTATAAATTTGATGTATACGATCTTCTCGAGCAAAATTATTTTCAGCAATAGTACTTTTTAAGATTTGAACACCTTGTGCAATTTTTAGATTATTAACAATTTCTTGGCCCATATTTTTGTTCCCATGAACGCAATTAGCAATGTATCCATTCTCATTTTCCCAAGGGAAAGCTGATATCGATCTAAGAGGACCCCAACGTCGAACACATAGTCCAAGATGTCGTAGCTGGTGAAAATTATAAGTCATATCTCTATCACTGTATAATGAAGGAGTTTTTTCCACAAATAAGTCCAATAATTTTTCAGCACGCTGTAGATCCGGTTGTATTAGAATTTTATCTTGAAGTAAATCAAACAGGGCTATAACTAAAAGCATTAAATGTTGAAAATACTTCTCGTCTAAATAATTGATTAAAGCTGGTAATGAATAGAATAGGATGAAATTGTAAAACTCCGATGCTTTGTAGTATTGAAAATGCTTCAACTCTCTTGGCAATCTATTAAATGATTGAGGAGGTTTGATACTTAAAATAAAATTATCTATGTCAGCACTATTTTTCTTAATGTTCCATGGACCTGCTTTTTTCAATAACAAATTGACGTAATGTTTTACAACCCCAAGAAGTACTGAATGCATATATTCAGGGACAACGCAGGTACCGAGGTCAATTAACGGTAGGCTTGATAGTATTGAGAATCCTTTGACACCATTGATATGAGATATTGAAGAAATTTCTTGCAATTCCGCTTGTAATTTCATTCTAGTACCAGTCCTTAACTTTGATGGCTCTTTCTTAAATGGATACATTCGAGTGGTTTTTTTGCCTGGAATCTTTTTACATTTCTCCGTACTTATTTCGCAGATGTTACAACCAAAAGTACCATTGAAAGATTGAATATTTTGAAGGTTCGCTCTAGCAGGAGCGTCAGCTATGAATAAAGGAGCAACAATCTTCGAAATGACAGCTTCTTTTGTTCGAGGATGTATCCACTTGACACCACAACGATGAAGATCCTTCAATTTTACGGAAAATGGTTGAAGAAACGTATTCATATCTGGCTTACAGTTTTTGTCATACCATAAACCCCAAATAATAATAAATGATTCTCGAATATGTTCTGGCAGTTCAGCGATGGTGTACATTAAGGGCCAGCAATGACTAGTTCCACTTTTAACCAACGATAACCCATCAGTGTTTAATACTAATGTCAAGTCATATCGCTGTCTACCTTCACGAGAATTCACTCGTTTATATTCAGAGCCATCAGTTATATCACTTATAACATTTTCATCACGTAATGTAGGTGAAAATCTCAACTTATCTGCGAGATTACCTTTTTCGAAGTAATATTTCAGCTGATGTTCAATATCAAACTTAAAGTAAAAATAAAAATTTTCTTTATCAGCTGCACAAGAAACACATTTTTCGATATTTTTAATATCAATACCAATATAAAATAAGCAAATTTGACAATAAAAATGCTTCGTGGCATCTAAATGAGGTGTCATATTTTCAACGTATTGAAACAATTTATATAAAGTTTTTGGCATTCGATTATCACTGGGAAGAGCTGCTAACTGAATTTTTAAGGCGTTTTGTAAAGCTGATTTAGAAATTTGATGTCGAATATAAAAATCTAGTAAATTATAGACATTTTCGTCTACCGTAATGTTACTGTTTTCATATAATGAAATACTCGTTATGTGATTATCGTTATCACTAGGCTCTATTAATTCAAAGTTATCGCCGATTACTTCGTCTTCAATACCAATTACTTCGTTGATGCTCGATGCACTATAATGGTCATTATTTTCTGATTTATCGCTAGTATCAATTCTTTGTTGATCGTAGCTATTGTCACTGGTGTTTTCCTCACTAGATTCTCCATCACGTTTTTCATTCTCTAAACTTAATACACCAAAGTCTTGATTTCCATTATCAACATTTTTTTTTGCAGTCCATCTATTTAATGTTCTCAGTGGAATCTATAAACAAAAACTGAATTAATAAAGCTACTAATAAAATAAAACAAAAATATACACAGTCAAATTAATTATCGTTTAAAATTTTTTAATAAAAACTTTTTCATTTTCAGCAAACAAAATAAACACTGACAGGAAAATATGTTTTAAAAAATTTTTTTGTGACAAATTATTTTTAAATTTAAGACATAATTTATCAGATGTTTATTACTTTCAAAATCATTAATAATAAACTATGAATTGATTTTAAAAAATTTGAAAATTTCATGAAAAATAAGTGATATAAATTACTTACCGGTATATCAGGATTTTCTTTATACATTTTATATTTCCTTTTTTTTTTTTCGGAATAGGAGAAGTTTTATTTGATGTATCATCGGATGACATCATATTTAATAAAGTTTGTCTAGCAATAAAATATTTATTATGTTTTGATAAATTCAGAACAATTGTCAAGTCAATAGAGATTAGAAATAGTTATAAACACATTGAATTTACCAAAGAAAAAACATTACATCCATAACAGTAAAAATACAATGATACACAAATACAATAAATAGATAGATATACTTATATTCAAATACACAATCAAAAAGATCTATACTCGAATGTCCAAAAATACCCGCTTTAACACATGTAACGACGCTTTGCGCCTGCGCCAGTAACACATGTTTTTAACCTAATAACTGAATTCTTTACAAATGGCGTCATACAGCACCTTAGTGTTCTAGTGTAAACCACGTGTAGCAGAAAATTGTAGTATCAAAAGTTAATTATTTTTCTAGTGAGAATAAAATTTTTTGAAACATTAGTAAAATGTATTATTTGATTGAATGTGAAAATGATCATTCATTTTGTACCATAGAAGATAATCACGTCATTTGCGACCCCGATAATCCTCCAAAAGTTCATGATAAAGTTCTTTTTTTTGGGACAATGATAAATGTACGGGGATTATTGTAAATATTTCAGGTAAGACTGTTTCTTTCATAATTTATTTTTAAATTAATGACTTTGGTTATATCTAACAAAAAAAATATTTAATTTTATGAAGCTAACCTCTTTTAATGTTCAAATTGTGAAATTTTGTGTTATGATTTTAGATGATACAGATGAACTCAAAATATTGGCTAAGAAATTGAAAATCAAATCCAAAACATCTAATAATTTAAATAATTCTCCACTTCCTTCGAAAAGATCACGCAAGCCAAAAAGAAGTTGGTCATTTGGAGAGGATATAGCTCCTCCACCCAAAAAAAATAAAGTAAGATTAAAAAACTATATTTATTATTATTTCATGAAAATTAAATTTAAAAGATAAAACTAATAAAGTAATAACTTAAAATATTATTATTCATTCATCAGGTTGAAACTAAGAAAAATAATAATAAAGAATTGTCTACAAATCTTAAATGTCAAGTACAAAACTTAATCAATCAAAATAACAGTACAGACGTTCAAAAAAGCAAGATTTCACCACCAAAAGAAATTTTTGAAACCAGCCCAAGCAAGGAGGAACTCAAGATGATGATAGAACAGCAACAAAAGCTCCTTATATCACGTAAAATAAATTTATTTATCATTTTCACTGTCAAATAAAATTAATGAAATTAATTTTATTCATTTTACTATTTATGAATAATATTTTCATAGCTATATTTATTTTTTCAGGTGAAAATTCTAAGTCAGAGAAAAAAAGTGATGATTTAAGTCCAAAAAAAACTGAAGAAAATGATATTATTTCTGATAGTGATGACGATGATAGCAATAATGATAGAATTGAGGATGACAGTGATAAAAATAAAAATAAATATCAAGAAAAGAAAACACAAGAAAATGATAATCAGATCCTTGTTGAGGCTTCTGTAGAAGGAACCTCTCGTGACGGTGATAAAAATTGTAAAGAAGCACATGACAATATCATTGAGTTACCAGGAATTATTGGCAGCAAAATAGAAAATAATCATCCTCAATTGTACGGGTGAAACTCAGGTGAACCAGTGAGTAACAAAATTTTTTATATAAATTAATAATAATACATAAATTGGAAAATAATACGAAAGAACACTGTTAATGTTGTCAGGCTTTAATATTTTTTTTTAATTTTATTATTAGATGATTTTATTGAAAGATAACATTTACTGTACAAAAACGGCATTCGAGGATGCTGTTGACTTTAGTCGGAAATCTGCGACTTCATTCTTACGGCGTCTAATGAACGGCGTATTCAAACGTAATGCTATTTTAAATTGTACGTACAGTGGACGACCTCCTAATGCTCAAGGAAAAACAAAACAATCTCAAAAAGTAGAACCATTAGATAGAAATGCTAAAAAAGCAGTTTTAGGTAAATACTATTTGAATTTTTATGGGTTTTAAATTTTATCGTTAATAAATTAAAAATAATGAAGATTTAGACAAAGACATTAACAAAATAGAAAAACATAGAACTGCGACTTTACATGGTGTTTCTGAAAACTAATGATTTAAATTAAGTTATCTATTTTTCTATACCTGACCATCATTGTTTCTTATTTTTTACTATTTCTATTACATTGAAATTTATCTTACAGAATTTTGCACTGAGTACGCAACAACAAAGGGATGGCTAGCTTCAACCGATGCAAAACTGCGTAAAGCTATGACTCAATGGGTTGGCGAGGTTAAAAGAGAAAATAAGAAAAATAAAAAATCATAGACAATTATACAACGTTAAGAATTTTCAGTTTCGTCTGTGATTGATACGATCATATTAAATGGTAGTGTTTAAATTTTCAACATAAAAAAAATTAAATTTAGAGGTAAAATTTAATTTTTTGATATTTTATTTACTGAAACTTTATTTAACGATCTAAGTATAATTAATATCCCGATAATTAATATCGCGATATAAAATTCAAGTTCTTGAGTATAAAGAATTTATGATATTAAAAAAAGTTTATTCTTTGTTATTGTTTAATAGGAATAATTTATTAAAATTTTAATAAGGATATGGTTAAAATAAGGCATGATATTATGAAAAATGTGTTCTAAACGTGACTAATAAGAGTTTATGATTTTTAAAAATTGGAAAAAAATTTCTTTTTTGTTTAATAATGAAGGTAATTTATTTAAATTTTGATAAAGGTGTAGTAAAAATAAAACGTAATGTTACACAAGTTCCGTATACATGACTGATAAAAAGCGTATTTTTAATAGGAGCTGTTAAAATTAATTAATAAGATAAATTTAAACTTAAGAGTAACTTTTTGTTTTCTTTTATATCTTTTATAACTTTTATGTTATGCAAAAATAAGATTTATAAGAATGATAATAATAATAACCATCACCATCATAATAATAAGAAGAATTAAAACCATGTGCATTCCTGTCAGTAATTACTGGTTTAAGCCAAAGATTAATTTTATAAGTCTGTGAACAATTAGCTATAAGAACTAATGTTAATTTATTATTGTGTATTGCGAATGATATTTCGATTGAAAAAATAAATTACTTAAGAATCGTTAAATTTGTTCTGGTAAATTTTTTTCCTATATAAAGAAGTATTCAATACTAATGAAATTATATCATTCTATTTAATTATATATAATTTTATCTAATTATATAAAAAAAAAATGGTCCGATAAAACTAGATCGAACTTATATATAATTCTATACAACTATATATAATTCTATACAGTTATATATAATTCTATACAGTTATATATAATTCTATACAGCTATATATAATTCTATACAGTTATATATAATTCTATACAGTTATATATAATTCTATACAGTTATATATAATTCTATACAATTATATACCATTTCTATCCAATTTTATCGGGCCATTTTTTTTATATAATTAGATAAAATTATATATAATTAAATAGAATGATATAATTTCATTAGTATTGAATACTTCTTTATATAGGAAAAAAATTTACCAGAACAAATTTAACGATTCTTAAGTAATTTATTTTTTCAATCGAAATATCATTCGCAATACACAATAATAAATTAACATTAGTTCTTATAGCTAATTGTTCACAGACTTATAAAATTAATCTTTGGCTTAAACCAGTAATTACTGACAGGAATGCACATGGTTTTAATTCTTCTTATTATTATGATGGTGATGGTTATTATTATTATCATTCTTATAAATCTTATTTTTGCATAACATAAAAGTTATAAAAGATATAAAAGAAAACAAAAAGTTACTCTTAAGTTTAAATTTATCTTATTAATTAATTTTAACAGCTCCTATTAAAAATACGCTTTTTATCAGTCATGTATACGGAACTTGTGTAACATTACGTTTTATTTTTACTACACCTTTATCAAAATTTAAATAAATTACCTTCATTATTAAACAAAAAAGAAATTTTTTTCCAATTTTTAAAAATCATAAACTCTTATTAGTCACGTTTAGAACACATTTTTCATAATATCATGCCTTATTTTAACCATATCCTTATTAAAATTTTAATAAATTATTCCTATTAAACAATAACAAAGAATAAACTTTTTTTAATATCATAAATTCTTTATACTCAAGAACTTGAATTTTATATCGCGATATAAAATTCAAGTTCTTGAGTATAAAGAATTTATGATATTAAAAAAAGTTTATTCTTTGTTATTGTTTAATAGGAATAATTTATTAAAATTTTAATAAGGATATGGTTAAAATAAGGCATGATATTATGAAAAATGTGTTCTAAACGTGACTAATAAGAGTTTATGATTTTTAAAAATTGGAAAAAAATTTCTTTTTTGTTTAATAATGAAGGTAATTTATTTAAATTTTGATAAAGGTGTAGTAAAAATAAAACGTAATGTTACACAAGTTCCGTATACATGACTGATAAAAAGCGTATTTTTAATAGGAGCTGTTAAAATTAATTAATAAGATAAATTTAAACTTAAGAGTAACTTTTTGTTTTCTTTTATATCTTTTATAACTTTTATGTTATGCAAAAATAAGATTTATAAGAATGATAATAATAATAACCATCACCATCATAATAATAAGAAGAATTAAAACCATGTGCATTCCTGTCAGTAATTACTGGTTTAAGCCAAAGATTAATTTTATAAGTCTGTGAACAATTAGCTATAAGAACTAATGTTAATTTATTATTGTGTATTGCGAATGATATTTCGATTGAAAAAATAAATTACTTAAGAATCGTTAAATTTGTTCTGGTAAATTTTTTTCCTATATAAAGAAGTATTCAATACTAATGAAATTATATCATTCTATTTAATTATATATAATTTTATCTAATTATATAAAAAAAAAATGGTCCGATAAAACTAGATCGAACTTATATATAATTCTATACAACTATATATAATTCTATACAGTTATATATAATTCTATACAGTTATATATAATTCTATACAGTTATATATAATTCTATACAGTTATATATAATTCTATACAGTTATATATAATTCTATACAGTTATATATAATTCTATACAGTTATATATAATTCTATACAGTTATATATAATTCTATACAGTTATATATAATTCTATACAGTTATATATAATTCTATACAGTTATATATAATTCTATACAGTTATATATAATTCTATACAGTTATATATAATTCTATACAGTTATATATAATTCTATACAGTTATATATAATTCTATACAGTTATATATAATTCTATACAGTTATATATAATTCTATACAGTTATATATAATTCTATACAGTTATATATAATTCTATACAGTTATATATAATTCTATACAGTTATATATAATTCTATACAGTTATATATAATTCTGAGGCTTAAAAAACTGCGTAGAATGCCGCCAACCGCGTGAAAATCGGTTCATTCATTCAAAAGTTATTACGATTTGAAAATAAAAAAAATAGTGTTTTATCAAACTTCTATCAAACTTTTAAGCTCGAAAAGCTCGAAAGCATACAAAAGCTATTTTTTTGAGCTCGGAGAGCTCAAAATAATACATAAATTGTATTTATGAGCTTGAAGAGCTCTAAAACGTCATGAGTGCAATTTCAAGCGTTAGGTATAGAATTGGCGGGAAGTTACAGGGATGACCTTCAGGGTCAACCGTATTCCTAATTTTTTTTATTTTGGTCAATTGACGTTTAATTATTGATTACTGATTTTGCATGCCTTAAGCGCGAAGCGCGCCGGTATGCTCTAAAAATCGCCTAAAAATCGTGATTTCGATTAAAACGTGATTTTCATAATTTAAACGAAAAAAATTATGGATAAAAAGCATATTGAAATAAATAACAATAACTACAGAACACGTTAAAAAAATTTTCTTATCGATTAAATAAGATTTCTCAGAATAAAATCGTTTTTCTGATGAATTAAATGAATAAAAGCGTGGTATTCACGGGAGCACTGGGCTTGATAACACCACAACTTTGTTAAAAATCACTTTCACGATTTAATTTTTTTTTGTTTTATTCTTGAGGAAGTTTGTCAAAACCCTTGTGAAAATTGCGTGTCAAAATAATTCCATTTCGATACAGTTAATTGTTTTCGGTTGTCAGTTCGGTGACTTTTTCTGCGATTTCGGCAGCCATATATATTATTTTTCATAAAACAGGATTGAAATAACTATAAACAAGCAGAAACTATAGATACATGATGGTATAATTACTAACTGCTTTATTATCTGTTAAAATTTTTCTTTAGCTCGACCTACAGAGGGGAAATACTACTCGCGGGAAAATTCAAATTAAAAACGAATAATTTTTGTTATGATCTAAATAATTTATGTATGACATGAGCGCTTAAGGCATGCTCATTTGGATTTTCCAAACTTTTTATTTGGAAACATACCGTACTATTGAAAATTAATGCTCAACTCTTAATTAATTATTTATTAATCTTTCAAATAATTGTATAATCAAACTTTATTTGAAGTTAGTATTAATATTAATTTAAATATAAACGTAAATTAAAGTTAGTTTTAACACCAGTAATCAAAAATTTAACGTCAATTCACCAAAATAAACAAATACCGTGATAAAAGCCAATGGAACCAACATAAAAATTGTACTTACATCCAGGGAAAAAATGAATTTGCCTAATCATATATATTTATATATGATTATATATTGAATATATAGAATTATATATGATTATATCTAAATTTTTATATAAAATATATATAATCATATATAGACTAATATATTGTATGTATATTTTATATCAGTCTATATATAATCAGATCTGAGTTATCTAGGTCTATATATGATGATATATAATTAGATCTGATTAGACCTGAGTTATCTAGGGCTATATATGATTATATATAAATCTATATATGATTATATATTATATCTGATCAGATCTAATTGATATAGGACCATGTATATAATTAAACGTAAAGCTATGTACATAATTATATCTAATCAAATGTAAATTATAAATTTACATTCATTAATATATAATATAATAATATATAATTAGATGCAGCATTTTTTAATGATTATATATAATAAATATTTTGTTGAGTTAATTTGTTCCACTTGCAATGTCATATGATTTGAAGATTGCTTATAAACAAAAATCATCTTTATAAATTATTTTCATTAATTATATTACATGATAATAACGTTTATTGTAACATACCGAATTCTATCACAGCTCATAATTATCTTTTAAATTTTTCAATATTAAAAACGTTAATTTATTTAGTGATTTGAATTATTATCATGTGTTAAAGTTATGTATTCCAGCTGTCGGGTTATAAAAAATGTCAAAAAAAAATTGCTATTTTTGCTTTTGATTTTAAATAAATATTTGTTAACTGTTACCAAATATTTATTAACATTTAATAAATCGTATTTATTAACAGTTAATAAAGCTTAATAAATATCAACAAATCCTTCTATCAATATCAGTGTAACTATACGGAAATCATATATAATTATATATGAATCATGTATAATTATATATGAATCATATATAATTATATATGAATTTTGTGATTACTATAAAACATTCTCTGTTTTCATCTCAGAGTCTGCTACTCCAATGATTAATAATTTTTTAAACTATAGTTTTTTGTGGATGAAATAATGGAACTGTATTAATTAATTTAACTTATAAAAATCGATTATGTATTCGATTTGCATTAGTTGTAGGTGTTTCAAGCTTTACTCTTCCAGTAAGTCTCGTATAGGTAAACACCCGAGAAAAAATGTTTCTATATAATCATATATAATTGTATATGATCATATATGATTATATATGGAATCACATATATAATTATATAGAATTATATATAATCATATATAATTATATAGAATTATATATATTATCATATATAATTATATATAATCATACATGATTATATATGAAATTGTATATGAGGTTATTGTCAAAAATGACGGTCGACAATAAATTTTTTGCTGAAATTTTTTTGTATACTACCTTGTACTAATCTTAAGAGATCCTGAAATTTTTGGAGCTGTGTTTTTTGTTTTTTCAAAAATATGAATTTTTGAAATTTGTTAAAAAAAAATTTTTTCTTATAATTATTTTTTTCTCATCGTTATGCCACTAAATGACATTTTAACTGTTCAGAATATCAAAATTATGCGATTTACCAAACTCAATTAAGATATAAATATAAAAAAAAATTTTTGAGAAAAATTTTTTTTTTTTTTAACAAATTTCAAAAATTCATATTTTTGAGAAAACAAAAAACACAGTTCCAAAAATTTCAGGATTTCTTAAGATTGGTACAAGGTAGTATATAAAAAAATTTGAGCAAAAAATTTATTGTCGACCGTCATTTTTGACGATTTTCAAAAATTCAAAATTTGACAAATTTGGCATTTTTCAAAATTTTTTCCCAAAACATTTTTTTTCCAATAGCTCCAAGTGTTCCCTTTCAAACAAACGAAAGATCATTCCTGTATCTATCCTAGCGTTCGAGATATTACAAAAACAAAATTGAAAAACTGGAAAAATCGCGAAATTTTGAGTTTGCATATCTTTTGAAAAAAATTTTTTTATTTTTTTTCCTTTGGCAGAACTTCGTTATATGATAAAAGAAAACTTCTGACCAAAATTCGTCCAAATCGAAAGGGGTCGATTCCCACTATTGGCCGATTTGACATGGAATGACCCATATATAATTATATATGAATCATTTATAACTATATATAAATCATATATGATTATATATAAATCATATATAATTATATATGAATCATATCTAATTTTATATGAATCATATATAATTATATATGAATTTTGTGATTACTATAAAATATTTTCTGTTTTCATCTCAGAGTCTGCTACTCCAATGATTAATAATTTTTTAAACTATGGCCCTGCTCTCAGGCACGAAGGAAGGTCTGAAAGACATGTTGGTGGCATTGGAAAAGTACGCTGATGACAATGACTTGGTGGTCAACACCAAGAAAACAAAAGTCATGATCTGCAGTCAAGGAAACCACACAAAGGACGAGAAAAACTGGCTCTACAAAGGGAAGAAGCTAGAAACAGTGAAGGAATTCAAGTACCTCGGATATTGGTTTTCTCGTAGCGGGAATTACAAGAAGCACACGAAGTGGACTAGCGGAAAGGCACACCAAGCCCTGAACTCAACTTGGGGAGTCATAAAAAGGTCTGGCCGAGCTGCGCTGAGCAATCGTCTTTATCTTTACAACACTTTGGCAAACTCAGGAGCATTGTATGGAGTTGAAGTTTGGGGCTGGTCCCAGAACCCTGAATTTAATAGGCTCTATGCTGGTGCACATAAAATGGCCCTGGGAGTTGCCAAAAATACGCCAGATTACTTATGGCAGACGGAAGCAGGAGTGCCAAGCAGCCTATACGTCACCAAAAGGAGAGCGACTATGTACCTGGTAGACATATTGAAAATGGAGCATAACAGGTGGCCGTGGTTGGCGCTAAAAGAAGAATGTAGGAGCATACTGAATGGAAAAGCTTCAAAATGGGGTGAGGCACTGGTGCAGGCTTTAGATGAGATGAAATGTCAGGATATTCCGAGACTGATATGGCAGGAAGCTGAGGTAGAGGAAGTGCAGCAGAGACTGGAGGAAGGGCTGATGATAATGAGAAACAAGTAGGAGAACAGTAACTATAATAAGATCAATACATCGACCTTTAGCCCTCATTACAAGTTCATCAAAACCTGTGAAGGCAGCGAGCCATACTGGAGGGACCAGAGCATAAAACCATGGATGAAGGAGATCTGGACGAAGCTAAGGTGCGGAAACATCAGCAGGCACTTGAAATAAGGCTTCTCCAAGGACTGGTCGTGTAGGCTTTGCAAAGGTGAAGCAGAGACATTGTCGCACCTATTTATATGCAGAGAGGCCATGAATGCTTGTGACAGCAAAGTTGCGCAGCATGTGAGACAACTGGTTGACGGAAAGTTTGAGGTGGACCTTGAGTATGCAATTAAAGACATCTTGAGAGGCCCGCCAATCAAGGAATTATGCATATACTTTGAAAAAGTATTGGACCGAATCAAATTCGGAACTTCAGAAGCTGAGCCAAAGAATGAGGAAGAAGAGTCCAGATAGACAGTGCAATTACAAATTTCAAAAATGAAGCAAATTATTAAAGTTTTATTTATAATTATTAATTGAATGTAGCAGGGGATGGGACAGTATTAAAGTTTTTTTTTGTAAAAGCTGTACTTAGGAAAATAAATAATAAATAAATAATTTTTTAAACTATAGTTTTTTGTGAATGAAATAATGGAATTGTATTAATTAATTTAACTTATAAAAATCGATTATGTATTCGATTTGAATTAGTTGTAGGTATTTCAAGCTTTACTCTTCCAGTAAGTCTCGTAGGTAAACAGGTAGTGTGTTGGTCTTTAAAGCGTCAGGTCCCCGGTTCGATCCCCGCTCGCGGTGAATATTTTTTATTTTTATAGAAATAATTATATCTAATTATATATGATTAGATCTGGCCAATTTTCAGATCTAATTATATATAAGTGATTGTATATAATTATATATACATAATCATATATGATTAGGCAAATTCATTTTTTCCCGGGATAAGGAAGAAATCTAGTCGATCTCGTGATCAAAAGATTGCGCTTAATACGCTTATGATGAATTTGAAAGAGGCTAATTATGTTGATGTGACGAATAAACTCCAATTCATTAAATTAATAAATAAATGCTAAATTAATGAAAATGTTGATTAAATTGTTTCTCTGGTACAAAAAAATAACTATCCGAGCACATGCATAAGAGTGTAAAAGTAAATACATGCAATTTCGAAAAAAAACAATTTTTGAATTAAGAAAAAAAAATAGAACGAAACGTCTGTCCACGATCGGATTGATCTAAAAACTTTCTATATTTGTCCAAGTTTTCTTAAGAATTTTTTTCAAAAAAATCGAAGGGGGCATACATTTCGAAAAAATGTTTTTTTTGCTTCAAACTAAAAAAAAAAAAAATAGGAATAAATCAAAGAAGATCAAAGAGGCATTTTTTTCTTGAAAGAGCATTAAAAAACAAAAATTTTGAAAAAAATGAGACCCCGATAGCTGTATTTTTCGCGAAGTTATAGGTCTTTCAAAAAAAAAAAAAAATTTGAATTTTGGAAAAAATCAATATCTCAGAAACGGGTGGTCAAAAAAATTTGAAACAATTCATGAAGGTGTTCTTCGACGGTATTGAAAACATATAAAATTTTCAAAAAAATTGTAAAGGTTGACCTAAAAAAGTGGCCGATTTGGTATGGAATGCCCCAAATATATATGGAAATACCGTTTGCATAGAGCAATCGCTTTCCAATTCTTTTCAATATCAGTATTTTTAAAATGTTAATTCAACTAGGACTTCTGTAATCAAAATTCAACACTTGTATCTGATAGCTGTAACGAATTCTCTCCAAATCGTAAAAAGTTTTAATAAATAAGTTACAAGCTCGGAGGAAGTCATTAATCTAGATAAAAGTGACTTTATGATGGTTTTTTAACGATAACATGGTTTCTACAAAAGGAGTAATAATTAAATATTATCTCAATATAACTTAAAAACTCTTTAATATTCAACGCTTAAGGATTCTAAAAAAATGATTAAACTTAAGGTAGTACTACACAGAAAGAAAGGTTCACTTGAACCAAGAAAATATTTTTCTTCCGAATTATTTTCTTGGGCGAAAAAAATTTTTTTTTTTGACACAAGAAATTTCACTTATTCCAACAAAATTAATTCCTTACTTCAAAAAATACGTATCTTTAAATATTCTATGTATGACATGAGCGCTTAAGGCATGCTCATTTGGATTTTCCAAACTTATTAAGGTAGTTCAGCCCTTTAAGCAAAAATTCAACAAATCTCCCAAACTCCGTATAGAAGTAGTTAAATACATAATACACACGCTGTTAAAATTTAGAGACGATTTACCACGTCTAACCGAAGATAATTGCAGTTGAAAATGACATTTTTACACAGGCGGTATGGGAAAAGAGAGAGAAAACCGCGAGTTTTATTATTTTTGTATTGAAGAAATTTTAAGAATTTCACGAAAAACTAACATTATTTAGATTAATACATGTATAATTACCCTACAAAATTCTGGAATTCCCTACCACATAGTTTTTGAGAAATCATTGATAAACTAGTAAAGTAAACAAATAAAGTCATGCGTGGAAGTAAGTGAGCAATAGCCCGTAAGAGAGGCAACACTAGCGCGTGACGAAGACAGCAGTAGCATAAACTATAGGTTGGGAAAGAACTACCTTAATGAAGATTTACTATTGCATTCGTTTTAACTTAGGAAGAAGAGAATGTGATTGAAGTATTTATATTATTAGTGTTGTGATTTTATTTAAGTACCCATATAAGAACTGCCAGAGTTGAAAGACAGGGCCTTGCCTGGCCCAGTACTGGGCAACCAAGCTTGGCGCACCGATATTGGCTCATGCTTCGACCAAGACTGGGTATCCAAGCCTCGGCTGGCCCAATGATTATCCAAGCCTGAGCCAACACTGGTTTGCCATAGAATGGCCCAGGCAAGAAAATCCAGCGTTGGGCCAAGACTGGTTCGCCATAGAATGGCCGAGGCAAGAGAGCCCAGCGTTGGGCCAAGACTGAGTTACCGAGCCTTGGCCATTCAATGGAAAATCCATAGGTTAATTAATAATATTATTAATTATTAAGTAATAGAATCTTTAACAAAAAATATTAATTGTTTAACGAATATTTGTTAGCAAATTCTAAAATTGAAAATTTATTATTTATCCACAACAATTGCCCATCCTCAAAATTGATATGGTCTTAAAAAAATTAAAATATAATAATTTACAGCTGAATTTTTGATATCGATTTAACAGTAAAATTTATAATAAGATTTTAAAAATATACAGAACAATGTACAAAGTCTAAAGTAATATAAGAACTTAACTCATGCATTTTTTTAACTAATAAACATTTGTAAAAAATCGTTAATTTTCATCAAAATACAATCTTAAATAACATAAATTATATAAATAATAAACCGTCATACTTCGTCACATTATATATTTAGCTTATAACAATGATGAGATGAGTATCAACTTATCGGTCTTACGGTGTAGGGGTTAGTTATCGGTCTGGCAAGCGCGCAACGCGGGTTCGAATCTCGGTTAGGACAAATGCTATTTTCACTTTATTTCTATAATTAGCGAAAGTTAGGTCTAAATTACAAGTTTTTTTTTTTTTTTTTTTTT